GAATGCAAAATGATTGTTTGTCATGAGCATTTTGAACATATGACATGTCTAAATTTTGTTAAATTTGCATTTACTGGGGGAACTGGTGTGTATAAAACCCTAAGTATAATAAGCTCTGGTCTTCATCATGGTGCCTATTGGGTAGTGATATAACTGCAGTATCCCTTTGGGGAAGGGAAAAGGGATTTCTTTATACCAAGTCCTAATTAAACTATAATTTCACTTTTGACTTTAAGCTATCAATTTTGGACTTGGCCAAAAAATTTTTGAGGGTGATTCAATAGAGGATGCTTCACCACTGAACACTCACTGTCATCAAGGTGCTTTAGAAAATTAAAAACATAGCACAAATGATTGTATTCTAGTCTACAAGTTATCATGACCTGCATAAGAAATGGAAAGCTGATTCACGTTTTTGCAGTGATCAGCAATAAGAAATGCACTAATGAAACATACCTTTTACCTAAAAAGCTAAACTACAGCCATATACTAATCTCTATGATTTATGAAAAAACTTCAAAATATCCAAATGTCAGGCTTCTCTGTACAACTGTCAGTTTTAGTCTGACTTTTTATAAAGGGACACTGCAGTATTTAGTACAAGTTCGGATGCACTTTTTTGAACATCTGATGTCTTACAAAAGTAACATCTTCCTAAACTATTATACATCCAAATAACTACAATATCTGAAGAAGCAAGGCTGCTTTTTCAGCCACAAAATACGACAAAAGCAAGGCCTGTTATGATGGTCATGAGGAAGTCTTACAAGCCTCTGAAACTAAAGGCAATTAAGAATGTTATTACATTTGGTATATTAAAATCTTACCCTCATATCATTTAACAAGCCTTGCTTTTATCTACAAAGATTTTTCTATGTACAGTACAGACAGGGTATAGTTCAATCCTCTGCTACTGAGGTAGTTAACCAACCCTTTTAAAAAAGGTTCTGAAAAGAACCACTATCTGGAATGCCTGACTAACCAGCTCTGATGATTACACCTGAAACTGCTTATCTGAACACAATTCAAAAGTGATTATTATAAAAAAGACAATCATGATTAACCTTGGTGAGCAGAAATAAAATTTAAGGATACCAACAATGGTATTCATCTATACCACTGCAATAAAATTTAAATGCACAAATTCAAGAGAATATTTTAGAAAACCAGTGCTGGGATCCTTAATTTAAAAAAACAGGGGAAAAATCTACTTAGAGCAGATTTTTTAAAGAGAAGAACTTTATTCTTTATTAAGATACCATGCTAGAAGTTATGAAGAATTTCTGTTGGAACACATTTGGAAAATAGAGTAGATTTAGTTTAATAACTTGCACTGCAGAGAAAATTGTTAAAGAAATTCATATCAAAGTCCAAGTATTAGTTCAATGTCCTGTATTTGATTCCATGATCTTCACAGGAAGGTCTTCTGCAAAAGAATATGCTCCTATACAGCCGTGATATTTAAGGTTGCTTGATTTCCTTACCATTACTCCACTGCAAGCTTCTGGTGTAATCCCACATAGCAAGTCAGTCTTCATTGTAACAGGTCAGGACCGGCCTCGACCCCTTTTCCCTGCTAGCCAGGTAACAAAAGGAATCAGTTAGATAAATCATTTTAAGTTTATAATGTGTACAAACATATGATAACATTAAAAAAATAAATAGAAGCTTTAACAAAGTAATTCTTAATATAAAGTCTAACCAAAAAGTTTCCATTAATAACTATTAACTTCTTTTTGCTTGTTTTTCACTTGTTTGGAGTTGAGGTTTTTGGTTTGCTTTTGTCCCCCTTGTGGGGTGGGGGAAGACTGAATTGAGGCTCAAAACCTCATTTTGTTCACAAACTGATTTTATTAAAAAAAAAAAAAAAAGAGCTAAAGAATTCCTAACAGAAGTTACACCTTAAGGCAGCAATTTTCAACCAGTGTGCCACTAGAATTTTTAAAGTATACAACACCTATCCGTCAGGGCCACTAACCCCCTTTTCCCTAATATTGTCAAATTAAAAAATGGCAACAGCCAATAGAATAGCTGTCTGGTGTGAATGTATCAAAATTTTACCTATTTTTTCATCAGATCAGCAAAAAATATTTCTTGGTGTGCTACACAATTTTAGTAATTAATTTGTGCCATGAGATGGAAAAGGTAGAAAATCGCTGCCTTAAGGCATTGTTCCCATTAGCTTTCAAGCAACTTTTTTGAGACATGAAGCAAACATCTGATATTTGACTTTGACATCTACAATTTTCATTGGTTAACATTTTTAAAAAAGCATTGTCTTTCAAATCATTTATTTTTTACGCGTAGGTGTAAATCTTTAAATTTAGGGATGGAGGTTCAGAAGTGGGGAGTGGCTTTTGAATTGTTTACATTGTTGAGAGTCCATCCCCAAAAATTCTAATATATAGATGGTTGGCATTCTCCCATCAGTAGTGCTAACTAGACAACATGGTCAAAACAAAATTAAAATGCAAATGATTGCAAAAATCCAAACTATAAG